AGTACAAATACTGGAGACAAAGCCTACCCACCCTCACTCCTGGTCATTTGGAATTAAGTTTTTACTCTGAGGCATAACGTAACAGCCATGCTGGCTCAGACCAAACACTCATCCAGTTCCATGTTCTGCTTCCACAAGACCAACGACATGCTTAAAGGGGACTCATCAGCAGGACCTATTTGGCTTGAGCACCCGGGCACCATTCTCCAATGATGCACCTTAATCCTACAGGAGTGGACAGATTATTGGTCACTTGCAGGAAAAGGGAGACAGACTGACCAGGCTTCTTGGGAGAATGGGCAATGTTTCCTCTATGGAATACTTCAGATCCCAAACTGTAAAAAAAGAAAAAACCCAAATTGCTATCAAACCAGTCATTGCCGCAATGAAAGAAAGTCTTGCATCAATCCACAAAATGTGTATGTGCAGTTGTTTAACTTACTGAAGAGGTGCAGCCTGGAGGCCTTCTCCAAAGCTGCACTGCAGCAAGGAAGCCCGCAGCATCTTCACTCATCATCCTTTACTCACACAGCTCTTCTTAACACAAGAAGTTAGGAGCCAACACTCAACAAGAAACGGGGGGGGGGGTTAAGTATTATGCATTTTATTTATAGAAGTTAGGAGCCAACACTCAACAAGAAAGGAGGAGTTCAAGTATTATGCATTTTATTTACGATATCTGAATGCCAACTCCATAGCTGCACAGCCTTGCATCTCACCCTTTTGTCTGTTTTTGGAGGTGCTCCAAAGCTTCGCCAATCTCAGTGGTTTCACTTTAACAGTCAAGGTAATTGCAAACAAAACATATCGGGGGGAAAGCCTTCCTGCCTTTTTCTACAACACCGCAACTCCCAGGAGGAATCCAAGGAGGGAAAGCCAGATGCATCCACGCAAAATATTATCACAACGTTAGGACAGAAAGAATTCCCCTATGTGTTGGCTCTTGGTTCAAGATGGCACCTGAAGGGGATGGGACAAGCACGTGAGGAAGCAAACGAGAGTCCTGCAGGAATGACTCGCATAAAGAAGCCCCAGTTCTCAAACCGCGGACATTCACCCTAGTTCACAGGGAAGTGAAATGTCAAGGAAGGAGAGGAGATTCACCATCCCCAGGGCCATCTTTACTCATACACACACAGCGTGTGGGAGTGGAAGCAGCTGCACAGCAACAGGAAAGCTTCCTCCTCCTTCCCCTTCCTGACTTGACAGCCGAAGCTTCTTAAGGGAAGCTGTCCCTGGCAGCTCACTCTGGGAAACGGAGCGGCTGCCGTAGGCAAAGCGCTCCCCTAACAGGCATTGACGTTTCAGCAGATCAGCAAGCGACGCCTCCAGAAAGGAGCAACCTGCTTCGGGACTGGGAGGAGCAAAATCCAAGAGGCGTTTTCCCGGATGGAAAGGAATGTGCTTTACAGAGAGATTTGCTACTGTATGTCTGGCCAGAAAACTCCACTGCCTTTTACACCCACCTGAGGGTTGCTGCGCTGCATCCACAGAGACAAGCGAGGTCGAGGTCCCTTTTCCTCAGCCTTTGAAGCACTTCATACGGAAAGAATCCTCAAACCCGCGATCCTTAAAACTCTATCCATCCCATACCACTTCAAAGGTCATTTAGCCCTCCTATCTTCTCTCTTTCAACCACCGAGCTAAGCATTAACGTTTTCTTCAGGTTCTTTCCTGATCATGTCTTCTCACTAACATATCGCTTTAGTGTTTTTTTTTATCATCAGCTGGAGAAAGACCAAGAAGGCCAAATATGAAACAGCGATTCAACCATCAATCACCAGATCACTCAAGTTTATGATTAGGATTTTCTCTTTGCACCTTTGAGTAATCATAAAGTATGGATAAAATTATCTTTTAATCGCAACATCTCCTAGTTCAATCCATCATGCAGAGGTACTTCTCTAAACCCCACAGCCTCTCTCAGCTCCTGTGACTTTCCCAGCACAAATCTGTATATTGCCAATATCTTAGTACAGCAAAGAATAGCAACTGCAGAACAGCTAGGAGCCAATTTTCAGAAACCCAGGACCCAATGGAGTTACATCAGCTCTAAAATTCAGCCACAAAATATGGGAGAAAAGCCCTAATTCTCATTGGAAGCCATGGAGAATTCCAAGAACGGGGAGAGATGTTTTGGAAAGTAATATCCAAAGGCAGGGGAGGGGGGGGGAAACCAGCTTGAGCACAGATGGCAATACACTGCTGACCTGTGCCCCAACCTTTATCTTATACTGCTCAAGTTTCTGTATCAGCTTTGTAAAACACGACTATTTTAACACATACGCACATCCATTTAATTCTGAAACAATAGCTCTTGGCTCACTTCCCCCAACCTGCCAAGCTGCCCTAGATCCACCCAGGAAGTCACGCCCCAGCCTCCTCGCTCTCACATAGGTGCCTCTCCGCCCCTTCCAAATTAGGACAGGTCACTTCCACTCACCCACGTTACACAGACAAACCTTGATACTGTACCAACCACTCTGAAGTGACACCCTAAGTTTCAGTCACTCCACCTGCTTTCCTGGGCTCTACAGAGTTGCCCTTCCTTGACATTTCAATGCAGCCATCTCTGCTTTCTTCCAACATTCCTGAATCCTATATACTACTGACAGTAGAGCCCACCACACCAGAGGTACTGTACTTTTTCACATCCATTTTCTACATGAAAATGTTCTTTTCTTCCTTCACCTTACACAATAGAAAAACTTTCCTTGTTTCCCTGTGCTTCAGGGGTGGCATTCAACTGCCTGAAATCACAGAATAATGGAGTTGGAAAGAGCCTGTTATACCATTGAGTTCAACCCCGTGACAGTAGAGCCCACCACACCAGAGGTACTGTACTTTTTCACATCCATTTTCTACATGAAAATGTTCTTTTCTTCCTTCACCTTACACAATAGAAAAACTTTCCTTGTTTCCCTGTGCTTCAGGGGTGGCATTCAACTGCCTGAAATCACAGAATAATGGAGTTGGAAAGAGCCTGTTATACCATTGAGTTCAACCCCGGCCCTGCTCTCACAGAATAATGGAGTTGGAAAGAGCCTGCTATACCACTGAGTTCAACCCCGGCCCTGCTCAAGGCAGGAATCTAAATCAAAGTACAGTATATCTGAAATATACTTTTCTAACAGGCAGGAATCTAAATCAAAGTATATCTGAAATATACTTTTCTAATTTTCTCTCAAATGCTCCACAATTTAATGGCCTTCATTTTCATTTCATCCTTCCTTTTTTTTTACTCCCCCTACACATACACTGGATGCCCAGCTATTCTCACGTCCACCCCAAGCTTATCTCTCCCTAGCAGGAGTCCCACACAAATGCAATAACAATGGCATCACAGAGTCAGTACCTGTCATCCAAATGTTTCCCCATAGTCCCAATCATCATGCCCACCTTGGTTTTCAACACCCTTACTGAAACTACCATACATGATATGTTCCCGACCCCTTTTTTTTTTCTAGATTATCCAGGGCCTTCCTCTGGGAAGTGAGGAAAAGCCATCTGAAAACAGCAGAGATTAAATTCAGGTACAGTATTTGGAATAAGGAGGGACTGGTGTGTGCCTCTATATACACCACATCTCTTCTTTCCCAGATCCTTCCTTGTTGAATCATGAACACCTTCACCACCCCTTGCAGTTCCTCACTTCCACATATGAATGGAAATCTTCTTGGTAATCAAAAAGTAAGGAAAACGAAGAAGCGAAAGCCAGCTGTGTGGCACCGTAAGTAAGGATACTGGGTAGAAAACATGGGTTGTCAAGACATGAGAGAGAATAAAAACAGGTATCTAAAAAAGGGACCCAACTGAGGATGAAAGGGGGAGGAGAGCAGATAAATAGGTGCAGGTGTGTATGACACACTCGCATACATTTCCCATTGCTCCAATTATGCCGCCCATGTAACCCCGTCACCTTCACCACCGCCTCCACAATTGCTCAGCCCCCACCTACGGATGAGACGGAAAGAGCGTGAAAAATCTAGAAGGTGGAGGAGAGAGAGAGAGAAAAGCCATCTGGGTGACATTTAGGGGAGGGGGTGCTGGCTTGGAAAGGAACTCAGTGACTGGAGCAGAGGAGAAATACGTGGTGCAGTAAAGAGAGAGAGAGGGAGAGGGCGGGTGCAGTTGCGCGCCTTCTGTACCGGCAAGTTGGAACCGACTTCCAGCGGCCCTAACAGAGCTTTCAAGGTAACTCAGATATTTAAGGAGTGAGTTTCCATGTCTGAGCCACGGCCTCCTGAATCCTCCAAACCCAGCCAGGCCTCTTCAGTCCTAGCCCACTCCTCGATCCACGACACCACCCATACAAACACCATATCCATGCATATATGTCCAGATGTATATATACACACATATATGTGTGTGCATGTATACACACACCCCACACACATATCCGTGTATATATTGTATGTATGGGCTTCCCAGTATTCCTCACATATACTGCATGTATATATGTATAGCACTCTTTGCCTAATTGTGTGTGCGTGGGAAGAGAGAACACACACATATGTTTGTTGCATATCCTGCATATGCATATATAGTGCTCTTTGCATAAGTAGAAAAAGAGATTATACGTATTATAGAGTGTTCTTTGCGTCAGGAGGTTGTAAACCTCCCAGCGAGGGCTCTAGCACTCCGGTATGAGGCAGGACAAGAGTAGAAAATTACATGTGCAACTATGTGTATATATGTGCGTATATGTAGAGATATATGTAGATATGCT